GAAGGTGCCAGTACCAGGCGCTGCTGGCACTTCCTCGGCGCTGTCCGACGACGACATGGGCGTCGACGCCGCCGCGGCCGTCAGCGCCGACGTCGCCGCGCTCAAGAAGCTCGGGCACGCCGAGACCAGCGACGACAAGGCCAGGCTGGATGAGTGGAAGTCGCACATTTGGCGCCTCATCAAAGAGAACGTGCGCATCGTGAGCCAGGATGGCGGTTTGAAATGCGGTTGCCCCGCTGCGATTTATGTCTGAGCGCTGCAACTACACCTCTCCGTCCCCCCCTCCCCCTCCCCCTCCCCCCCCTCCTCTTCCTCCTCCTCCTTCTCCTCCGACTCCTCCTCTTCCTCCGCTTCCTTACGTCCCTCCCCCTCACCTTTCCCCCCCTCCCCCTAGTGGTTTGGTGGCGCATGTTATTTCGCAGGGGCCTAGAAATGACATCTACATGCCTGCTCTGCCCTCTGCCTCTTCCTCCCTCTCCCACTCCTTCTCCTCCTCCCCGGGCCCTTCTCCTCCTGGCCCCCCCCGAGCTCCTGGGCCCCCGTCTCCCCGGGGCCGACGAGCGCCTCTTCGCAGGCGAATTCCATCTGAAGCCTGGCGGGGGGGGGGGGGCGGGCGGCGGCTGCCGAACAAGGCAACTGCACCGAGGGCCAGTTGGCCGACCTGATCAAACACAGCTCCGTCGGGAAAGCCAGGATCGACGCTCGCAAGTTTGAGTGCGCCGTCATCATCTATGATGTGAAGGCGTCCGGCGAGGCCATTACCGACCCCAACATTCGCCCTCCGCCCTTCCGTGCCTCCCACATGGCCAAGATGATCAACGCTGTGTGCAAGGCGCGTGACTCCCCCGACGACATCACTGAGACCGACGCGTTCATTGTGTTTGATGCGATGCGCCACGGAAGCGAGAACGAGATGGTCCGGTGCTTTAAACAGAATTCAGATGGCAGAATCATGAGCAAGTCCAAAAGGACGCTGTTCATTATGTACGAGGAGGACATTGGGTCAACATCGTTTGGGGAGTTGGGGGCCGACTCGCGGCCCGGAGAGGGTGGTCTCAAATTTCACAATGTAAGTTGTCCCAGTGCGACCCTTCCTAGGAGTCGGAGCGTCTAGGGAAACAACATCTACATCTACACCGACAGCTACATTAACATTTACATCTACAGCGACATCAACAGCGATACTCACATCTACATATACTCCTAATGGTATGCTATGCTGCGCTATGATATGCTATGATTTGCTATGCAGCACTATGCTATGATATGGAACGACATGATAGTATATGTTTTGCTGCGCGACGGTATGCTATGCTATGCGATGCTGCGCTATGCTAGGCTTTGCCATGGTATACTATGCTATGCTATGCTGTGATCAGCTGCGATGTGGTATGCTAAGCTATGGTATGCTATAATATGCGATGCGATGCTATGGTGTGATCTGTTATGCTATGCTTCGATGCGCTATTCTATGCTGCGTTATGTTTTGATATGAAATGATATGGTATGCTATGCTATGCTAATGCTGCGCTGAGCTGAAGCTAGGCTAGGCTAAGTTAGGCTCGGCTCGGCTCGGCTAGGCTAAGCTCAGCTAAGCCAGGCTAGGATAAGCTAAGCTAAGCTAAGCTAAATTAAGCTCGGCTAAGCTAAGATGAGATGATCAATGATAACATATGGGGCGCAGCTGGGGCAACCGCGGGGCGGATGCTGGGGGGGGCGCCCGGGGCGGGGGCCATTGCCCAGCCCTTTAAGGACACCGAGTAAGAACCCTTCTAGGCAGAGCCTAGGTCGGGAAATCCCCGGGCCAACACAAGAAATCTTGGAAGCGTTCAGACGGGGCCATCTTGGGGGCGAGGAGGAGGAGGGGACGGAGGAGGAGGATGGTAATGATGAGGATGAGGTGGAGGACGAGGACGAACGCGAGGAGGAGGAGGATAATGAGAAGGAGGAGGAGGACAATGAGGAGGTGGATGAGAAGGTGAGTCGTTCTGGCCCCTCCTCCTCCTCCTCCTCCTCCTCCTCCTCCTGCTCCTCTTCTCCTCCTCTTCCTCCTTTTTCTCGTCCTCCTCCAGATCCACGGATGGGGCCCGACTGACTCACCTCCCCCATCGCCTCTTCTTCTTCCCCCTTCCTGGCAGGAGTCGCTGGCGCAGCATCGCAAGCTGACCAGGGACTCGACTGTGATTCATCAATCGGAGTTCGCCCACATAATCACGAAGAGCAACCTCGAGCAGGGCGAGGAAAAGAAGAGGCTCCACTACAAGGGCACAAACAAGGGGGACTCCATCGGGCCCGTGGCGATGCCTAAGGAGGAGCTGACCTGGCGCTTGCCGTTCGGCGAGAAGAAGGCCTGCTACGGCCCTCGCAGGCCTCTGGGCCACGAATGGGCACCGAAACAAGATGGGCAATCAGTGATATCGAGGAGGAAGGGGAGGAGGATGATAAGGATAAGAAGGTGGAGGGGGATAGTGAGGAGGAACAGGTTAACCGAAGGGTTCCTGGTCCCCCTTCACCTCCCCTCTCACGCCCTCTCATCCTTCGCCTCCACCTGAGGGCCCCCCTCTCGTCCTCGCCATCCTCTTCTCCTTCTCACCTTCTCCCAAATGACACGTCCATCTGTTTTCGATGCCATTGAGGGTGGCCGTCGGCGGGCCCTCCGCCAACTCTGGACAAGGTCGTGCCAAGACTTCCCGGGACGACACCGATATCGAGCACATGTCTTTCCACCCCATGCCTCGTGAGCTCTACGAGGACATCTGCGGCATGGTCAACGCCAAGGTGGTCCTTGACCTCACGTGCAACGACATGCAGCTGGCGTTCATGTGCATGAAGGCCAAGATTCCATATTTTGGTTTCGCCTTCACGGACGAGCACGCGACGAAAGGCATGTCCTACTTGTTCTCGCTCGTCCTCGACGCGCTCCAGGATGAGGGCTCGCACTTCTACCAGGCAAAGTTCGTTAGTTCATCGAGACCCTGAAGGGCGAGGGGGAAGAGGACGACGACGACGAGCCCACGAAGCCAAAATCAAAAGCAAAGGCTGCCGCCAAGGGCAAGGCGAAGGCTGGCGCCAAGAGCAAGGCCAAGGCTGCGGCCAAGCCAGCTGGGAAGCAGAGCAAGACGGCCCTCCTGGCAGCTCTGCGCCAGGCGGAGCAGGAGGCCGGCGACGGCGGCGAGGGGGGCGATGAGGAAGCCGAGGAAGACGACCCGGAGGGCGACTCGGAGGACGACGGTGTCGGTGAGTGAAATCGGCCTGCCACAGAGTAGGCCCACGCACTTTTTCGGGGCTGGGCACGGCGCCCACTCTTCGGCCACTTGCTCAGGGTGTCCTCGAGGGAGGAGAGACAGAAGGAGGAGGGAGGAGAGGGAGGAGAGACAGGAGGGTAAGAGGAAGGAGCCTGCAGCCAGGTCGATGCCCCCATCGCAAGTCAAAAGCTTCGTTTCAAGTGCTCGAGCGATCAAGAATACCCAAACACCTAAATATGCCATGCGCTCGCTGTCTGTCGCTTCAGCTGCCGTAGGACAGCCATGCATGTGCTGTGCGCTGGCGACCAGTTGCGGCTAGCAGAGATTGCGGTTTCGTCTCTGCTCGCAGGGAATGTCTTTTATTCTCTTTCGCGTCACAAAGACGCGACTGCATGGCAGAAGTCTCGCCGGAACGTGTTGACAGAACATCAGTTCGTTTGCAGTGGCGAAGATAATGGTGATCACACGGGCCCAGAGGCGGAGGAGGAGAGAAGGATGATGATGATGATGATGATGAGGAGGAGGAGGAGGAGACGGCGGGGGGAAGGAGGAGGTGGGAGAGAAGGAGGAGGGGAAGGAAAACGCGCAGGAGAGGGGAAAGAAGCGACAGCAGAAAGAGGATAGGAAAAAGGATGATAAGGAGGTGAAGGAGAGGATATTAGGATGGTGATGATGATGAATAAGAGGGAGGCCATCCAGCTTTCGAACCCCGCCGCGGCGAAGAGAAGGGCCTTCGATGGCCCCGAAATCATTGGCACCTGATCCTTGGGCCCCTGGGTGACCGATGTAGCTCATCATCCTGATCCCTGGGCCCCTGGGTGATCAACGGCCTCCCTTTTATTCATCATCATCTGTCTTCCTCCACCTCCTCCTCCTTCTTCCGCCTTTCCTTCCCCGCAGCGACGTCTCCCCCTCGTCCGACCCCGAACCGTGAGATATTCGCTTGCCAGTACTTTGCTCGCCTCCCCTCCTCCTCCTCCCCCTCCTCCTCCTCCTCCTCCTCAACCTCCTTCTCCTCCTGCTCCTTCCTTTCCACCTCCTTCCTCTTCTTCTTCTTCTTCGTCTCCTTCTTCTCCTCCGCCTGCCCCCCTTCCGGCAGGCCGAGCCGGCGGCCCCCCGGCGGCGCCCGGCGGCCTCGCGCGGGCAGCTGCGCCGCCGCCCGGCGGCGGCGCCCATCCGGCGCCCGGCGGCCTCGCCGCAGGCGCGGATGAGGGATGACGAGGCGGCGGCAAAACAGGGAGGGAGGGAGATGGTGGAGGGAGGGAGGTACGAAGGAAGAGGAGGGAGAGGAAAAGTAGGAGGAGGAAGAGGAGGAGAAGGAGAAGGAGAAGCAGGAGGAGCAGGCGGAGGAACAGGAACAAAAAGGACAGGAGGGGGAGGAGGGATAACAACGACGACAAGCAGGGCAAGATGAGGAAGGGCCAACGTACTTTGGCTACCTTCCTCTTCCTCCTCCTTCTCTTCCTCCTCCTCCTCCTCCTCCTCCTCCTCCTCCTCCTCTTCCTCTTTGCCCTCCCTTCTCCTCCCCCCCCTCCTCCTCCTCCTCGCCTTTTCCATCTTCCTCTCCCCATCCCCCCCTCCTCCTTATCCTCCGCCTTATCCCTCCCCCACCTCCTCCTCCTCCTCCTCCTTCTCTTCCTCCTGCTTCCATCGTGTGATGATTGATTTGCTCATCCGCAGGGCCCCTCGCCGAAGCGCTCGCGATCCTCTTTCCAGATCGCAGACATCTGCGGTGGCATCGCAGTCCCGGAAGAGATGCGGGACAAGGCCAGGAGGTTCAAAGGGCCGCCGAGATCCATCGCCGTGGGCAGCACGTGCTCGGGCGCAGGGACCTTGGAGTTCGCGCTCCAGGACCTCGGCGCTGACTATGATGTGAAGTTCGCTTGTGATAATGACAGGTGGGTGAAGGTCTTCTACCAGGCTCACCACCATGCAAAGTTCTGGTTGGATGACGCCCTGGACGAGTGCCACGAGCACGCGCCCTACGTGGACGTGTACGCAGCTGGGTGGCCGTGTCAGGGCATGTCTCAAAGTGGTTATATGCAGGGTGCCGACGACCCTCGCACCCAGGTCGCGCAGGGCGTGAAGAAGTACATCCAGAAGAAGATGCCCAAGATGTTCATGCTGGAGAATGTCCCCACGATGGCCACGACCTTCGCATCATTCTTCAAGAGCCTTCTGCAGTTTTTCATGAGGCTTAAGTTGGCAGATGGCAGCGCGGCGTACGAGGTGCGCTGGAAGTTCCTGAACGCATGCGACAACGGATCGCCTCAGAACCGGAAGCGCATCTACATCATCGGGCTGAGGAGGGATGCCATCGTGAAACCATTCGCGTGGCCACCATCCATGTCGACGCCTCCATTGAGCTCGGCTCTCGATATGGAGGATGTGGTCCCAGGCCCGCGGACGTTCCCGGAGTCGTGGAGGGCTCGCACGAACGTGGAGACCGCCCTCGCAGAGCTGGCGAGTCAGAACATCGACCCGGACAGCGTGGACGTGATCGTGGACACGGACACTGGCAAGGACAGCTGCTTCTACGTCAACCGGGCGCCGACGTTGACGGCCTCCAGGTGGGCGCTGCTGTTGTTGCCGTTGCTACTGTTGCTGCTGCTGGTGCCCCTTCCACCTTGCACCCCTTTTTCCTCCTCCTCGTCTTCCACCTCCTCCTCCTTCTTCCTCCTTCCCCTCTTCGTTCTCCTCTTCCTTCTCCCTCTCCCTTGCTGTCCTCCCCCCTTGTCCTCTGCCTTGTCCTTCGCCTCCTCTGTCTCCTCCTCCTCTTTTTCCCTACCTAGGCTCTGCCTAGAAGGGTTCTTACCCTCTTAGCTTAAAGGGGCTGGGCAATGCAACTCGCCCTGGGCGGTTCCCCCGGCCCCCGCCCTGCGGTTCCCCCAGTTGAGTCCCCTTAGCTTAGCGTTGCTTATCCTATTTTAGCTTAGCGTATTTCATCTTAGCTTAGCTTAGCTTCATCTTAGCTCAGGTTCATCTTAGCTTAGCTTACCTGCACCTCAGATTCGCTGAGCTTTAGCATATCATATCACATCATATCATAGCGTAGCGTAGCAAAGCATAGCGCAGCACAGCATATCATAGCATAGCCCAGCATAGCAAAGCATAGCGCAGCATAACATAGCACAGCATAGTACAGCTCAGCACAGCACAGCACATCACCGCACAGCGCAGCATGGCATCGCATGGCGTAGCCTAGCAGGGTGTAATTCCCTACCTAGGCTCTGCCTAGAGGGTTAACTCAGCTTAGCTTAGCATAACATAGCATGACATAACCAACCATATCATAGCATAGCATAGCCTAGCGCAACATATCATCGTTTATCATAACATACCATACGCATGTCATAGCATAGCTTAGCATAGCGCAGCGCAGCATGAGATCTCATAACATAGCTTAGCATAACATACCCTAGCATAACATATCATAGCTCAGCATATCATAACATATCATATCATAGCGCAGCATAGCAGGGCAGCATAGCACAGCAACTAATGCTGCTTTCCCAGGGTAGTTGTTTTCCCACAGGCGCAGCGGCAGGGCGTACTGGCTGCTGAAGAACAACCGCCGCGCCAAGATGTCCGAGCTTTTCGCGCTGCAGGGGTTCCGTCACAGGGACATCATCATGACCAGCGTCCCACAGCCCCAGCTGGGCAAGATCGTGGGCAACGCGTTCGCGCAGTGCGTCGTGAGGCGCGTCCTGGAGCGCGCGCTCCCGGCAGTGGGCCTCCTTGGCCCAGCGTGAAGCGCTGGCAGGCTGTTCCAAGCTCCTCATCTCTTCCTTCCTGGCACTGATCATCCTCATTATCATCCTCATCCCCCCCTCTCCCTCTTTCGTGCCCCTGTGCACGCGCAGAGAGCATAAGAGCGCCTGCTGGGCGCGCCCGGTGGGCGCGCGCCGCGGCCCCTCCGGCAGCTGCCCGAGCTGGAAACGGCCGCGCGGGAGAGCGCGCTGGGCGACCTCCACCTCCCCCTCGACCCTCAAACAAGTTTTACTTTCAAGCCCCCCCCGCCTTCCGGGCCACAGCGCAGCCTTGGATTTCGCCCAGCGCAGCGCTGCCGCCCGCGAGGTGGGGGAGGATTGAAAGAAAGCATAAGCTGTTTTCTTTTTTAGGAGCCCCTGGGACCTCCTGGGACCCCCTGGGGCCCCCTGGGCCCTCCTGAGACCCCTGGGGCGCTTTTGAATGGCAAACCTCCAGGGTTCGAAAAGCCAGGGCGGGGCGGGGGATGGGGAGGAGGGCGAGGGGGGCGACGACGACGGCAACGACAGGGCTAAGGACGAGGAGAGGGCGGAAGAGGAGAAGGGGAGGAAGGTTGAGGAGGGCCCGGGGGAAGGGCGAGGAAGGATGATGATGATGATGATGATGAGGAGGAGAAGGGGAAGGGGGAGGAGGAGGAGGAGATGGAGAAGGAGAAGGAAGAGGAGGAGGAGGACAAGGAGGATGAGGAGAAGGAAAAGGGGGAGGAGGAGGAGGAGGAGGAGGAGAAGGAGGGGAAGGGGGAGGAGGAGAAGGAGGAGGCGGAGGGGGAGGAGGAGGAAGAACCTTCTCCCCGTGGTCGCAGCGCTCCACTGCTGCTCGCTCCCAGCTCGAGGCGGCAGGCCGAGCCGAGGGGTGGGGTATCGCTCAGGACTGAAGGCCTCATATGGATGTAAGTTGTGTGTGTGTGTGTGTGCGTGTGCGTGCGTGGTTTTAAGTTGTTGTTGTATGTGTGTGTGTGTGTGTGTGTGCGTCGTGACGTCGTGCAGCTCGTGTCATCGCACTGCGTGGTATGCGCAATTTCACAATGTGGTATGGTCTGTCAACGCAATGGTATGTTTTGGTTTGATGCGATGTGCCATGCTTTGCTAGCACATGCTATGCTACGATACGCTACGCTACGCTACGATATGCTATGATACACTACGCTACGTTACGATATGCTATCCTGTGCGCTCGCCCTTGGCGCGCGCGCCCCCATCCCCATGCCCTCGCAACCAAACCCTCGGCTCCCACTTGCACTTGTGGCTCCCCCTGGGGGCCGCCAAGTTTCGCCCTCCCTACCCGTCCCCTCTCTCTTCCCGCGACGCCGCCGATGCCGTCGCCGCCGTCGCCACCGACGCCGCCGCCGTCGTCGCCGTCGTCGTCGCCGCCGCCGCCCCGGGCCGAAAGTCTGGTCTGTGGGGGGGGCCCCCATTCAAGTGGCGCATAGCCGGCCCCCGAGAATACACCCGACAGACTCTGCGTGCAAAGCGACTGCCTTGGACAAGCGTTCGCAACACAAGGCCGCCGCGCACTTTGCACCGCGAGCCCCCAGCAGCTGAGTCCGCTCAGTAATTTCTTCCAGCCCTCCTTGGACCCTGGAGGCCTCCCCTTGGAACCCTCTGTAGGCTTCTCGGGCGTCAGTTGGAGGCTTCCTGGGAACCCGTCAAAGGTCTTTGAAGCCATCTTGCGGGGGACGGCCCTTGGAGTCTCCTCGCGCTCGCCCTCTGGAGCCCCTCTTGCGGCCCTGTTTTGTTCACTCCTTCTGCGATGTCTGGCATCCTCTCCCCCCCCCTCCTCCTCCTCCACATCCTCCTCCTCCCCCTTCCTTTTTGTGCAAGAGCCATGGCACACGTGCCACTTGTTACGGCGCGGTGCTAATGATAACGCCGGGGGGTTCCTTAATTGCTTCTCCGGGTTAGCCGCATCCCCGAGTTCCCCCCCTTTCAAACGTCGCCGTTCAGAACAGGATGGGAACTCGAGGATGCGCTCCCAATGGGGTTGGCCCATTCGGACGCGCCCCTGTCGAGGTCGGACGCCACCCCATCTACAGTCGAGGCGCTGAAGCAAGGACCACCCTGGGCTTAGGCGGAGGCGTGGTGTTCGGGCCGTTCCGAGCCTTCGGGTCGGGGCATCCCCTCGCGGCCGAGGCTCGCCGCGACCAGGAATCGCCCTCCGTCCCTTCTTTAGCGTGCCCTCCGGCAGCGCCATGGCTGCATCCGCCCATCCCCGAGCTGGGCCCCGAGTCAGTGGGTCCAGCCGAGCACCCCGCGCCGCCCGCAGGGGCGCGGAGGCGATCGCGCCCCGCACGCCGCGGTCTGGGCTGGAGAGGCTGCTCTCGTCCCACGGAGCGGCGCGAGGGCGCGAGGGAGGAGGGAGGAGGGAGGAGGGAGGAGGGAGGATACTGGCGGATTACACAGCCTTTGAGGGTGGCTGGTCCCTGTGGAATCACTGTGGAATGTTGTGGCAAGTCAGGCTAGGGAAGGCTAGCCCTCGGGCCACCATGTCAAGAAGCACGTTGGGGAACGCTCACACCTACACCGCCAGATCATGACGCATAATGGGGATGGCGAGCGCACAAACGGCCAGATAAAACGGCACAATGGTGAATCAGCTGCCCATGCACACGCAGGATACACCATGGACGAGCTGGCCGAAGCCTTTACGTTCCTTGCGCTTGGATAAATAGCGGGATGGGCTAGAAGATACAAGAAGGCCGGGTAAGCACAATGACAGAGGACGACGGGGCAACAGCGAAGGGAGAGAGAAAGAAGCAAGAAGAGAGAGGCAGGCAGGGGAAGGCACACACCGCCACAGACGTATCGTGAGGCAGACGGGGATTGATGAGCCCAGTGCAGCGGAAGATTGGGAAAGGTTCCACAGCCATATCAAGAAGCCTGCGGGACACCACATTAAGGAACGGTCTGCGGACGGTCTGTGCTGGATTCAGGATGGCAAAACGTACGGGACCGCGCGGGGGAAGCGACAGGGAAAGAGCGAACGAGGGAGAGGGAAGCAAAGGGAGAATGCAAAGGAAGCGGCGCGAGAGCGAAAGAGAGAACGAGAGAGAGAGAGAGAGGAAGAGAGGGAGAGAGAAAGAGAAAGAGAGGGAGAGGGAAACAAGGGGAGACAACAAAGGAAGCGGCAGCAAGAACACGAAACGGCATAACAAATGAAGAGATCCCCACACCTCCGTACAAACGACGGGGACGAGAGTCCCCATCGCGCTATGCGTCCAAGGTTGCAATGAAACAAGGTTGTGCATGTCGGGATAGAGAGAGACATGTAGATCGCGTGGAGGCCTGACCTCATCAAAACAAGTGGCGAGGGCAGTGTGAATAACAGGGAGACAACAAGGGAAACGGGACCGCAGTGAGGCCGGGAAAGATGGGGTAGTAGTAGTGGAGAAACGGATGAGGGGGTGGTTGTGGCGCCCCAGCTTCATGGCCTTTGAAGGCTAGTGAGGTTGGTGTGATCCTGGACGCCCATCTGGTCAGGATCTGGGCCACTGCGTTCGAGATTTCCGCCCCGAGCCGACTACCCAGTTTCGACTCCGAAGGGGGCCGAGAGGCGGACAAATCATGCCCCCCTTCGAAAAGAAAGTAGCGGAAACCGTGACAAAACAGATGCTAGGGATTGGGAAATTCATCCTCTGGTGCGCTTGCACAGAAAATGCTGCCAGGCCCATTCGACCGCCGGCCGAATAAGTTAAATATTTCCGCCACTGCTCGAGAGAATAAGGACTGGCACGTACAGGGCCATAACTTTGGCAACAGAGACACAAGTCTACTGCGGAGAGGAAGACGTCCCACGCTGTGTTGGTTCCATTTGTGCGGAACTGAGTCTGGCACAGAAAACGGACAATGCTGGAACCGACCAACACGCACAAGTTCGCATGCCCTTCTCGTCACGACGGCCTAGCACAGATGAAACGGACACAGCGGGAACCGACCAAACTTTCGGCGGCGGGATTGATGGTGATGCAGTGGGCCTTCGCCGAACCATTGTGCAGCCCCACAAGAGTGTGGTGCGCAGACAAGTATTGTCCTCCTAGCCAGAATTGGCGTCACCAAGGGCGGTCCTTTGGAGGGCTCTCGGCGGGGAGGGCATCTGCCTTGCGTATCAGCAGAGATGCGCGGGGCCCGGGGAGAAAAGCAGAGCGGACGAACCAGAGTCCACAGTCAAAGACTCGAGAGGGGAAGTGTGGGGGGCCAACGGGGGACCGAGAGGGAGAGATGAATGTCACGGAGACGGTGCGGGGCTGCCTGCAGAGACTTCAATCTCTTATGTATTCGGCAACGGGTTCTTGTGGGACGGAGCTTGCCCCGCAGGGGGGCATTGAACCGCGGGACAGGGGAGCATCGGCATAGTATCGGTATGACTAGTTGGCAGCGGTTCAGGGGGATGCCAGCCCATCCTCGGACGCGAAACCCTCGCGCGCCAAAACCGTCACCTTAGGCCTAATCCAAGAAGAGCTGATCGACCAGCTCAGGTGACCGGAAAACGGTTCCCAGTTTTCCCGCGTCGACTTTGTAGAGTAACGGTCTGGACGGGCCTGGGGTTCGCTCTCCAGGCGGCGGTAGGGGTGGCAACGCCCCTCGCGCTCCAGACGCGGCGTCGTCCATAAACGCTTGGCTCAAGATGTCCGCGTGCATGGAAGCGGACGAAACAATAAAGGTGAGGAGCGAATCTCATGTGGAAGGAGGGGGCGGGTAACAGGGAAAACAGAAAGAAGGGCAAAGGAAGCAGGGACGGAAGCAGGAGGAGGAGGAGGAGGAGGCGGAGGAGGAGGAGGAGAGGAGGAGGAGGAGGAGGAGGAGGAGGAGGAGGAGGAGCGCGCGTCGTGGAGCGCGACGTGCGAAGGCAGGGGGGACCCAGCTGAGGCCGACCCCCCCCCCCCTGAGGCTCTCGCCCGGCGGCCTCGCCGCCTCTCTGCACCCGCCGCTTCCTCCTGCTGCTCCCCTCCCCTGCTCCTGTTGCTGCTCCTCCCTCCTGCTGCCCTCGCTCCTTTCCTCCGCCTCCTGCTCTCTCTTCCCCCCCCTCCCTCCCTCCCTTCCTACATCCGCGTCTCTCCCTCCCATTCGCCCCCCCGCCTTGTCCCCCTCCTCCTCCGCCTCCTCCTCCTCCTCCTCCTCCTCCTCCTCCTCCCTCCTTGTCTCTTTCTCCCCATCCGCTCTGTGTGATGCCGCCGAGGTGGGGGGACTCGTGGGCACTCTACCTGGGGGTCGGCCTGCTGGTCGCGGTGGTCGGTCTGCTGGCGTGGGCGATCTACGAAGACTCGAGGGAGCAGCAGCTGATAGACGGCAGCCCGGGGCTGCGAAGATGGGAGGAGGGTCGAGGGTCGAGGAGGAGGGATGGTCGTCGAGGATCGGGGAGCGATGCGAGGGATGGAGGGAAGGATGATCGAGGAAGGGGGAGGATCGAGGGTCGAGGAGTGAGCATCGGCCGCGACGGGATGGCGCGGCGCTGCGAAGATGGGGAGGGGAGGGGGAACCTGGGAACCCGATCGCGATGGGATGGGGCTACCTCCTTCACCTGCCCATCCCACCTCCTTCTCCCTCCCTCCCTCCCTCCCTCCCTCTCGCCCTTCTCCTTCTCCTGTATCCTCCTGTATCCTCCCGCTCCCGCTTCGTTTTTTTTGTTTTTGTTTTTGTTTTTCCTCCTTTCCCTCCTCTGCCTTTTGCCCCTCCTCCCCCCCTCCCCCTTTCTGTTCCTGCTGCGGCTTCTCCTCCACTTCTTCTTCGCCTCGCATTTCTCGTCCCCCGGCTCCGTCTTCTTTTGTTGTCGCACTGTAGCGCTGAATCAAGGCTGCCGTGCAAGCACAGAGTAAGCACCGGCCTTGAAAGGGACAGTGCGGCCCAGCCCCGACGAGCAAGGGCCAGAGGACTGAATGGGGTCACGTCAAGCATATGATACATCACATGTGCCTCGTCTTTCTCACGGGGGCTGGGCGACGCAACAGCGGTTAGGAGGTCTGACTGAAAAGCGTGACCTTCGAGACGATGAGGGGGGGTGCCTGGCACACGTCCGCGCTGGAGCTTCCGAAGCTCGCTGCCGACGCGGGAAGGGAGGGGGGGCACTCCCCCCTGCCAGGGAGCCACCTCACGTCTGCTGCCTCGCTCGGTCCTGTCCCAGAGGCAGGGCTGCAGGAGTTTGTACTCCTCCCCATGTTACACCCCCACATATTACAGCACATACACATACATACATCGATTTATATAAAGACACATATATATAGCTACAGGTCTCTCTCTCTATATATATATATATGCATATATATACTTTATATATATATATATATAGATATCTGTTTATCTATCTATAGATATGTATATCTATCTATCTACATATCTATATATCTATCTATCTATCTATCTATATATATATATCTATCTATATATATATCTATCTATATATATATAGATCTATCTATCTATCGATATATATATATATATATATATCTATCTATATAGCTTTCTATATATCTATATCTATCTATCTATATCTATATATCTATCTATCTATCTATCTATATACCTATCTATCTATCTATCTATCTATCTATTCATATCCATGTATCTGTATACATATTCATACACACCTCCATATTTCCATATACGTACATGCACACGTACATACATACACATGCATGCATACACACATACACATACATGCATGCATGCATGTATACATACACACGTGCATGCAATCATACCTACATTCATCTATCCATCCATCCATCTATCCACCCATACACACATGCATAGATGCATGCATACATTCATGCATGCACACATACACATGTCTGCATGCATGCATTTCTGCATACATGTATGTATGCATGAATGTAGGTATGCATGCATGATGCATAGATGCACTTATATATGTTTGCCTGTCTGTCTGTCGGTCTGTCTGCATGCATGTATGTATGCATGCATGCATGTATGTATGCATGACTGCAGGTACACGCACGTACATACATTTACATCTACGTATACGTATACACATATACATGTATATGTAGCACGGGCATCTGGCTCCCATCAGTCCACTCCATGCTCGGGGAATTGTGAAAGACTCGCCGCTTGCCAGCTGCCTCTTTGAAGGACGGGGGGTGTTCTTGTGAGCGAGGCCTCCTGCATGTAGTGCAATGGTCGCCCTTGCCTGTCCAAGTGGGGGAAGGGAGGAAACGGATGGGCGGCTAGGACTTGGGCGGGGAATTTTGGGCAGGAGACCAGAGTAGTCACGCGGAGGGCGCTAGTTGGCCAGAACCCTCCCAGCACCTGTCACGAGCTCAACGTACTCTTCGAGGGCCAGCGTGCAGTCTGCCAGGGACCTGGGATCAAGGCTATGCTTCCCAGCGGCATCCTGTGCTAGAGCGTCCGCCATTTGGTTGCCTAGGATTCGATTTCTGTGTGCATCGCTGACCGCATCATCGACGTTGCGGTGAGTTTTTACATGGGAGGGCGACAGACATGGCCCTGGTGTGGCATGCGCCCAAACCCTCCAGCAAAGACTACAGAGGGTGGTGCCCCCGAGGCTGAGGGCCGGCGGCGAAACGCCTCGGACCAGAACTTTGCAGTCCACCGCAGACTCTGGGGGCTGCTTGAGATTGGAGTGGGGCCCTGCAATTACAAGTTCAGAGTGCTCACAATGAACAGTGTGTTGTGACAGCACTCGGGGCTGTGAGGACGAAACACGCGCATAATATGGCCATAATCATCAATCTGGCATCTTGTCAGGCCCCCACGCTCCGGCAAATCAAAGCCAGGGTTGAGGCACGAGCCGTTTACGAAAGCGGGCCTACTAGGGTCAACCTGGAGCTTGCCACAAGGCTCCTTCCCATCTCTGAAAACGAATTCCGAGTCCACCACCGGCGGGTCGACAATTTGGGGCCGCCTTCCACAGAAGGGCGACAAGCGGGTGGCCCGGACCTGCTGCAAGACCTCGCCCGACAAGTTTCCTCAACTCCGTGCCCCGAGGGGTGGCCCAACCAGGGATGTCCACGCAGCTTCCTTGTCCGCGCTCCCACGCCGTGCTGCTCTGCAGCTGCTCACCCTGGGTAGGCTCACCTGGGCGATCTTCCGGATCTGCTGATCAGTTGGGCACTAATGGCAGTCGTTTGCAGCAGTGGAAAAACAAAAAACGCAGACGATGACACCGATATAGCCATGATTGCAATGGGCGCGCAGCGTGGGAACATGGTATCTTCACTCAGCCATCCAGGTGGCCGTGACTGAACAGCCTCCTAAAAAACCACGTGCGCAGGCCATCTCTCAAGTGCTCAGCTTCCCTACCTACCTCCTGTAGCATTCGACAGCGTTGGATCCTCCACAAACCCTGGCATACAGGTGAGCTTCTGGGATAAGTTTGGATGCAGTTGTGGCTAGCACGCTGCGTGACCGAATGAACATGTAGGAGGAAGGTGAGCCAGTGGGGAGAAACCCTGCGCTCTCAGGGCGCACACGATGGGTCGTATCACGCAGCGCCCATCCCGTCATCTCCACCCACTGCAGCATTTCGGTGAGGCCCCCCCGGGATTGCACCAGTCAGGAGTTGTTCGTGGTGCTCCTGATGTGCTCGCGATTCTGCAGTTCCCGAATGTGGAGCAAATGCCCACGATAGAACGGCACTGGCACCAGTGGCAGGGTGCCCAGGCAGACTTCGAGCATGCTAGCGGAGGCGAACGGACTTTGAAGGTTTATGCCAATGACCCTTGCCTCCGAAAGCAAGACCTGATTGGTCAGACGTTCGGATGAATCGATGCTTGATCCTCTTACGCTTGCGCGTGCGTGCGCTCAGCTTGTTCGATCGGAGCTTTCGAATGCGACCTCTTGCTTCGGTCCACCTACTCCCAGGTCCGCAGCAGAGCGAATTGCAGTCCAAAGTACGTCCGCTGGCAAACTTCTCCGAGACGCATTCAGCCACTTGGGCTGACGAGGCAGTGGAGCAGACTCTCCGGAGGGCGAGAGAGCGACTGAGCCCCTCTAGGCTCTCATGCGTGAGAGTGGCGAGCTCGACCATGCTACTGACCTGCTGCACTTCCTCGTTCGTGGCAGCCCACTTACCTGTTCCTCCTCCAGCTCATCATGCGCCCCCCTGCCTCTCCGTCCCCGTGCTGCCCCTCCCTGTCCTTTAGTTCCCCCTCCTCGTGCGCGCCCCCCGGCTTGCTCATCCATCCTTCCCTCCGTTGCGCCTCCTTTTCCGCCCCCTCCCCGGTTCCCTCCTCCTCGGGGCGCGGGGCACAGCGGGAACCCGCGGCGGCGGCGGCGCGCCTTGGGAGACCCACGGCGGCGGCGTGGGGCCGCGAGGCGCGCAGGGCCTTCGGGGTCCCAGCCGAGCGGGTGCCTGACGCCGCGGGGGAGGACGCCGCAGCGGTGGCGGACCAACACGCCCAGCGATTGTTCATCTCCCTGCGCAGGGAGAGCGCGCGGGCGGTGCTGCGGCGCCCCCAGACGCAGTCTGGAGGGGCGGGGGTGGCAGCGGCCCGTCTGGCCGCGGCCACGGCTGCCTCCACGGCGGACGCCGTGAGGGGCATCCCCAGCGCTGCCTAGCGCTCCCCGCCCCTCCCCCCCCGCACTTGCTGTGCAGCGCGGGCGCCGCCCGCGCTCTTCCGCCAGAGTCGCGCTGGCGGCTCCTCACCCCGCCCCTCTTCACGCGCGCTGTCCATCCCTTTTCCGGCGGGGCAGTGGGTGATCCTGCAGAAGGCTTTCCCCGCCAAGCCGCAGCATGCTGGGCTCGGTCGGCCACTCTACGCCGCTGCCTGACGACCCCGACGGCCCTTCCCGACGATTGCAGACGACCCCCCCCGACGCCCACCGCCCACTTCACTGCTAGCCGCCTGGTCGGTGTCGCCGCCGGGGGGTCCGTAGCCACGTCGCGGGTGTCTCTTTTCCAGCGGCGGTTGTTTCCACGCTCCTCCTCTTCCTTGCCTCCATCCCTTTCCCCCTGCCGTTGTCTCCGCCCGGCCCCTATTCCGCCCGCCCGCCCGCCCCGCCGGCCTTGACCTCCCTCCTGCGCGTTCGTCGTCGTCTTCCTGCTTCTCCCTTCCTCTCCTTCCGCCAGGCAGCACAGCCTGCCCGGGAGCAGCGCGGCGGCGCGTAGGGCTCTGTAGCTGACGGAGCATTTGTGCAACCCCCCTCCTCCCATTGTTGCTCCGCCGCCCTCCTTCCTCTGTTTCCACCCCTCCCCCTTGCCTTCCAATTCCCCACCCTTCCCATCTCCCGCGCTTCTCCCTTCTCACTCATCATACACCTTCTGTTCTATCGGATCAATTTCTTCTGTGTTTGTATCTCGCCGTTCCTTCCTTCCCCCCCCACTGGAGACGAGCCGCGAGGCCGGGGAAACCCATGCCTTCGGCGACCCCAGGCACCCAGCTCAGGAGAAGAGGTCTTGGTTTGCAGGTGACACGAAGCGCGAGGAGCCATGGTCCCAGATCCAAAGAGGCCCCCATCCCAAGCGTTCGGGGGTATCTCTTGGCCTTGACGGCGTGGGCCGCCTCTAGGTGGTTGGTTCAGTGGCTGTGGACGTCAAACATACTCCGAGTCTCTTAATCTGCGTCGGGGGGGTGTCACCCCCGCCGACAGCCCCACATCGACCCCCGTCGCGGGCAGCCACCGCGCGCCGAAGGCACTCCGGCCCCCGTCGCGGCGCGACGACGGGGCGAGGTTGACCCCCGTCGGGGGGGTACCCCCCACGCTTGTTAAGAAACCCAGAGTATTCCTTCCTCTCCCTTCTTTCTCCCCGAGCCCGAGCCCGAACCCCCTTCCCCCTTCCTCCCTTCTTTTCCCCTTCCCCCTTCTTTCCCCCTTTCCCCCGTCTTTCCCCCTTTCCCCCTTCTTTCCCCCTTCTTTCCCCCCTTTTCCCCGCTTCCCCCCCCTTTCCCCCGTCTTTCCCCCTCTTCCCCCCTTCCCCCCTTTCCCCGTTCTTTCCCCCGTTCCCCCTTTCTCCCTCCGCCCGAGCCGCCGCGAGCCAGGCACCGAGCTCTAGCACGCGCCCCGGTGCCCGCCTGAGAGAGCGCCGCCTCGCACCGCCGGCGGCCCCTGCCCCGGCCCTCCCCTCTCAGGGGTGGCCTCTGCGGCTGGATCCGCCGTCCTCGCGTCGCGAAGGAATCGCGACAGGAGGTTTTCGCAATTCCTGGCCTCCGGGGGCCCTCGCTGGGTCTCGGGGCCGTCAGCAGAAAGGTCTCGGGATGAAGAGCCGGTCCCTGGGAAGGGCTCGGGGTCCACGTTGCGGAATGACCCGAGGCATGCCCAGCGGTTTTGAGCGCGCCATACAAACGGGCACTCTGTGATAGATGCAGCTCTCTTGAACGCTTCGCCAAACAACGTTGGCGCATCGCACACCTTCATATTTCACATCGCACAGGGGATGACAACGACAAGAACGACAAGGAACATGTACCCACGGGTTGTTAATAGTGGGTATCGAAGCCGCCAACGGCGAATCACCGCCGCCCCCTGCCTTTTTGGAAGTGCCTATGTGGCCGAACGTTGAGGCCAGACCTGCCAAGCTATCGGATCATGTGTTCCCCGAATCGGTTTGGAACACCTTCGGGGAACACGTGGGCATCTTGAAGGTCATCTTGGCCGTCGGGAGGCCATTTTGACCCTTTCGGGCCTTCTTGGAGGACGTCTTGGAGGGCTCTTGGGCCGTCTTGGAGGCCATCTTGAGCGTCTTGGAGGCCTCTTGGGCCGTCTTGGGGGCCTCTTCGGGCAGTCTTGGGCCTATTGGGCGATCTTTGGGGGCACTTGGGCCGTCTCGGGCTGTCGTCGGAAGGCCGAACAAAAAGCAAATGCCACAATCCTTTAAAAACAACTCATGGGAAATCTATGATCTTGACCTTTTCGGGCCTTCCTGGAGGCCCTCTAGGAGGAGGAAGTCGAGGAGGAGAAGGATGATGATGATGATGATGATGATGATGATGATGATGATGATGATGATGATGAGGAGGAGGAGGAGGGAGGAGGAGGAGGAGGAGGAGGAGGAGGAGGAGGAGGAGGAGGAGGAGGGAGGAGGAGGAGGAGGAGGAGGAGGAGGAGGAGGAGGAGGAGGAGGAGGAGGCGGAGGAGGAGGAGGAGGAGGAGGAGGAGGAGGAGGAGGAGGAGGAGGAGGAGGAGGAGGGTGGAACGGATCGCGACGCAGCTTGCCAGACCGTCGTCCCCCCCCCCCCCTCTCCCGTGTTTCGAGGCCACACCGGTGCGCGCCTGCGGCAGGGCGCGCGCGTGTCTTGGACGCGCACGGGGGGAGGAAGTTGGCTGACGGAGGCCCTGAAACGGTGCGGAGATTGTGTTTTCGGGGAGAGGTGGGGCTTTCGGGCGTTTTCGTCGGTTCTCGGCGGTTTCCTGCCTCGGGATGCGTTCCAGCAGCCGCGCCTCGCCGAGGGAGTTCGGGAGGGTGCCTGGCTCGTCCCGTGGCAGGGAGAGGCAGCGCCCTGCCGGCGAGTAGGGGGGGAGGCACATGCAGGAGCAGGAGGAGGAGGAGAAGGAGGAAGCGTGGTTTTATATCACGCTTGCGATTCAGCTCTGCCCGGGTCGGATCGCTCTGGCCGGGTCGGATCGCAAACGTTGGTGCCGCTCGTGCTGGAGACCATTCAGCATTGCGCCTCTGGTAGCCTGCCAGGGTCTTGCACTCTTGGATTTTATAGAAGTCTGTTCATGGAGAACCCCCGCCCTATCACGTCGATAAGCAAGTTTTTCCGACAGTCCTGTGCTGTTGGGTCCTCGTTTGAACGAGACAGCGCCCCGCGTCTCTCCTCACCTCCTCCTGCTGCCTCCTCTCCCTCCTCCCTCCTCCCATCCCTGCCTCTGCCCTCCGCATGTCAACTATGTCGGCACACACCTCACGCGCTTCGTGACCAAATAGGGGGCGCCACCGAAGGCCCCAGAGTCGATGTCCGCATGCGTTTCCCTGACCCAGTACACCGCTTCGTGAACCCATAGTAGGGGACTCCACCGAAGGCCCAGGAAGCGACGTTTGCATGCGTTCCCCCGCCCCGTCCGGTACAGCGCTTCGTGTCTCCATAGGGAACTCCATCGAAGGCCCCAGAGGCGACGTTCGCATACGTTTCCCCCTCTCAGTACAAAGCTTCGTGGCCCCATCGGGAGCCCCACCGAAGGCCCCAGAGGCGACGTTCGCATGCGTTTCTCGGATCCAGTACAGTGCTTCATGGCTCCGTAAGGAGCTCCACCGAAGGCCTCAGGGGGGACGTTCGCATGCGTCTCCCCACCCAGTATATCGCTTCGTGGCCCCATACGGAGCTCCATCGGAGGACTCTGAGGCGACGTTCGCCTGCAGATGCGGCGATGTCCGCAAGCGTTGCCCCGGTCCAGTACAACGTTTCGTGGTCTTGTAGGGAGCTCCACGGAAGGCCCCAGGGGCAGCGGCCGCATGCGCCCCCCCCCAGTTGTACAGCGTTTCGTGACCCCATAAGGAGCTTCACCGAAGACCCCAGCGGTCGCGGCTGCATGCGTTCCCCCCGCCCATTACGGCACGGCCCTTGCGCGTTTCGTGGCCCCCATACGGAGCTCCACCGAAAGCGGTGCCAACAACGCGACTCTCGCAACTGCATATGGTTGGGTCCTCCGCCTGAATAATGAGTTCGGTCCTCGAGAAGGCGTTTCGGCAGTAGTTTTTGCGTGACTGCGCCCGCCGTGTGTGGTCCTGGGTTGCGTTCACGGGAGGGTGCTTTGCCGAAGCGGGGTTCTGTTCACCCCCGAATTGGGCAGAGGCCCCGCAGGATTCTCGAGAGTTCTCTCAAGTTGAGCAGCGAGGCCGTGAGCCGACCAGATGGAGGCACCGTTGTCAGCTGGCGGGGCAGGAGGATGGGCGTTGGACCGATTTCTCGTGCGGACGTTGGACAGACTTCTCGCCCTCGCCCGACCAGAGGCATCCACCGTTTATGCACCGATATTATTTTCGGCCCACAAACGCCTGCCGCCAACATCGTCATTGAGTCCAGTTGTAGTTGTTCCCGGAAAGGGCGCCGGCCCAGGGTTCTCTTTTAGCTGTTTAACCCCGAATCTGACAGGAAGAGGGCCGGCGGATCTCTTTTGCGATAAATAACGAGTGGGAAGAGGGCTGGCGAATCAAGATTTGAGGATGTCTCGAGCGAAACGCTTGTTTTGTGTTATATATGGTCCTTTCCTGGGGGCCAGAATTTAGTGGATCTCTCAAGTGAAATGCTTGGTTTCACGTGCCCAGGTCTTGAGGATGTCTCGAGCGAGACGCTTGGTTTCACGCCTCCAGGTTGCCCAGGCCGAGGTCAAGCGCCAGGATTTGTTGATGATGTCTCGAGCGAGACGCTTGGTTTCACGCGTCCTCGTCGCCCAGGCGGATGTCTAGAATGAGGAGGTGTTGAGGAAGTCTTGATCGAGATGCTTGTTTGCACGTGTCCAGGTTGCCCAGGCGGATGCCTAGCATGAGGATGTGTTGAGAATCTCTCGAGAGATACGCTTGTGTTCACGTGTCCAGGTCGCCCAGGCGGATGTCTAACATGAAGATGTGTTGAGGATGTCTCGAGCGAGACGTTTGCTTTCACGTGTACAGGTCGCCAAGGCGGATGTCTAGAATGAGGAGGTGTTGAACAAGTCTCGAGCGAAGCGCTTGTATTCACGTGCCCAGGTCACCCAGGCGGACGTTTCACATGAAGATGTGTTGAGGATGTCTCGAGCGAACTACTTGTTTTCACGTGTCCAGTTCGCCCAGGCGGATGTCTAGCATGAGAATGTGTTGAGGATGTGTTGAGCGAAACGTTTGTTTTCACGTGTCCAGGTCGCTCAGGCGGATGTCTAGAATGAGGATTTTGACAGGATGTCTCGAGCGAAACGCTTGTCCCCAGCACGTTCCGTAGCGCGTCCCCTTGGCACGTCCCGCGGTGCGTCCCCATGGCACGTCCCCTGGCATGTCGCCTGGCGCGTCCCTTGAGACGTTCCGCGGCGCGTCCTCCTGGCATGTCCCCCTGTCAATTAGCTCTGCGGCAAATACTATGTGTTCAGGCAGCTCGAGCTTAAGATCCAGATCAGTTCGGTCAGGACTCGGATGCAAAGGAGGACTCGATCCACGACGCTATAGAGCACAACCGCGGCATGGCACATCGCAATTCAGCACGGTGCAGCACAGCACAGACTTCGGCACGGTACATCAAGATCGATACACTCAGCATTGCAACCTGGCACGTTCCTTGGCACGTTCCGTGGGGCGTCCCTTGGCGAGTCCCCCTGGCACGTCGCGTGGCGCGTCCCCTGGCACATTCCGTGGCACATCCATTGGCACGTTCCGTAGCGCGTCCCCTTGGCACGTCCTACGGTGCGACCCCATGGCACGTCCCCTGGCACGTCGCCTGGCGCGTCCCTTGGGACGTTTCGCGGCGCGTCCTCCTGGCATGTCCCCCTGTCAATTAGCTCTGGGGCAGCTACTATGTGTTCAGGCAGCTCGAGCTTAAGATCCCCCTCAGTTCGGTCAGGACTCGGATGTAAAGGACGACTCGATCCACGACGCTATAGAGCACAACCGCGGCATGGCACATCGCAATTCTAGACGCTTCGCGTATCCCCACCAGTTTTCCCTGGCTACTTTGTTCCACTCTCTGGATGCGTGTTCTGACGTCGCGATGGTTCGCTGGCGCCGTCAGTTTACTTTTCCCGCTGGACTGCGTCACCAGTGTCAGTCTGCCCATACCCGTCAGACTCCCTGGATTGACGTCCCGCACGGAAATCGTTCCCTACTTCTGTTCGTCCGTTTCGTTCACAGTGGGAACGCCTAGCACGCCATTTTGGCTGCGCTCGGCTCTCCTCGGTGGCTGACCTCTCAGACTCCTTGGATGTGCCGTTGCATGTTCACCTCAGGGGCTGCCCGGCAGACTCCCTGGATTTGCACGCCTTGGCTTCTCAGACGCCCTGGGTTGCCGCTGCCCGCCGCCTGATCGCGGCCGCGCGCGCCCGCCCCCTCGTCGCGGCCGCAGCCCGACCGTGACCGCCTGCCGCTGGCGCTTCCGCCTGCGGCCGTAAAAAAAGTATCCCCACCAGTTTTCCCTGGCTACTTTGTTCCACTCTCTGGATGCGTGTTCTGACGTCGCGATGGTCCGCTGCCGCCGTCAGGGCTTCCCCGCTGGACTGTGTCACCAGGCAGTCTGTGCCTACCCGTCAGACTCCCTGGATTGACGTCCCGCTCGGGACCGTTCCCCACCCGTTCTTATTCGAACTGTTGGGAACGCCTTACGCGCCATTTTGGCTGCGCTCGGCTTCCTCGGTGCCTGTTCAGACTCCCTGGATGCGCCGTTGCATGTTCCTTTCAGGGGCTGCCCTGCAGACTCCCTGGATATGCACGCCTTGGCTCAGACGCCCTGGGTCGCTGCTGCTGCCGCCTGACCGCGGCTCCGCGCGCGCCCGCCCCCCTAGTCGCGGCCGCAGCCCGACCGTGACCGCCTGCCGCTGGCGCTTCCGCCTGCGTTTTTTGTTGTTGTTACCTAACAGCGAAGACTGATAGGTTTCTAGTGGTCTCAAAAGAGCTCACAGATCACTCCACAGGGGGGTCCGGGCAGGTGTTGGGGAGTTGCCGGGCGGCAGGGTGCCGGGCTCGTTTTTCACCAACAGTCACACACTTCGTGCTCTTCGACTTCCCAGAACTCCATTCCCAGGCCACATTCTGAATACCCGGATGCAACAGTCAACACTTCGTGCTCTTCGAGATCCCAGAACGCCATTCCCGGGCCACATTTAGAATAACCGGATGCAACAGTCACACACTTCGTGCTCTTCGAGTTCCCAGAACGCCATTCCCGGGCCACATTTTGAATAACCGGATGCAACAGTCACACACTTCGTGCTCTTCGAGTTCCCAGAACTCCATTCCCGGGCCACATTTTGAATGCCCGGAGCCAACTGTAGGCCACTTCGTGCTCTTCGAGTTCCCAGAACTCCATTCCCGGGCCACATTTTGAATGCCCCCGTAGCCAACTGTAGGCAACTTCGTGCTCTTCGACTTCCCAGAACTCCCATTCCTGGGCCACATTTTCAGCAGGGGCAAGAGCACGACGAGGAGGAGGACGAGCAAGACCAGGAGGACGAGGACGAGCAGGAGCAGGACGAGGAGCAGGAGGAGCAGGAGAAGAAGGACGAGCAGGAGGAGGAGGAGGACGAGCAGGAGGAGGAGGACGACCAGGAGGAGGAGGACGACCAGGAAGAGGAGGAGGAGGAGGAGGAGGGGAGGGGGAGGAGTACCAGGAGGAGGAGGAGGAGGAGGAGGAGGAGGAGGAGGAG